AATGGCCACTGACAACTAAGAAATTTTTAAAAATTTTTAAAAAAAGAGACAATTTTTTTTCCAATAAGAAAATGTAAAAGAAACCAAAATTGGAACAAGAGAAGTATCTACATGGTATCACATATATGCACATTTAGGAATTTTTTCCGATTCATAGACATCTATTTCAAGTGCTGAAAACCATCTGGAGTGAGTACATTGTCGCTCAGTGTCCTCCACGATCCGCTCCCTGTGCCAAGGCTGCGGATCGAGCCCTGGAGCCCTCTGCGCCTGCGCGGGCAGGTGGCCCTCTGCGCTCCCCAGGGCTCCTCCGTGCGCTTCCCAACCTGGAAGGAACCGCTTCCCGCGTCTCCCGCTCTCCCCGGGCTGCGGGACGGCCACTTCCTGGGTCAGTCAATCCGTGTGGCCCAGGTGGGGGCCGCAGGGTGGAAAGTGAAAGGGGTGGGGGTTAAAAGTAAAACGGCCCGTTTCCCAAAGGAACCAAGAAGAAACCAAGAGGCGGGGGGAGGGACTCCCCAGAGGGGCCATAAACCAGGGCGACAGTGGCTGGAAGCAGAAGTGTCACTTCGGGACTTCCCAAGAGGGAACACAGAACCAAGGCTGCGAGGTCCCGCTGGGTCTTCCAGGGCCTCTTCTGACCTGCCCTGGGGCTGCTCAGTTCTGGGCCTGGCTCCACCTTTCTGTCCCCTCTACCCGCTGCGCACCAGGTGCCAACAGCTTGGTCAGCACGCGGCTCACCTGGTGCTGACACCTGGCATGTGCCCTCTCGGCCGCAGAACCCTCTGCTCTGCTGGGCCTGGCAGCCTCCCATACAGTCCTCCAAATTCAGTCCAAATGTCGCCTCCTCCGTTGGTCTCTGCCCCCCACGGAGTGAGAGTCGCCCCTTCCTCTGGAGTGCACCCCTCCGCCAAAGCCCAGAGCTGGGGTGTTTCCCTCTCAGCATCCCCGCCTTAAATTCAGTGCCCTGCCTGTGGATCTTATGTACTTGAGGAGGATAAAATCTCCAATGCTCCACCTTTCCCTCACCTCAGGACCTTTGCACGCACCACTCCCTCTGCTGAGGACGCTTTCCCCCCAGCTTCTTTGCATTTCCATCCTCAGATTTCAACTTCAGTGAGGCCTCTTCCAAGAGGCCATTCACTCTGTTGGAAATGGATCTTCTCTGCAGTCCCCAGCCCACACATCCCTGTGGATCTCCTTCATCTTAGGCTCAGTTTAGTGGACGTCTCTGGGCTGAAGCCCAAGCGCCCAGAGGTTGGGTGGTTGACCTCTCTGTTCCCGCAGCATTCCTCGTGCACGGCGCGGGGTCTGGAATGGAGCCCAGGTTCCACCAGCAGAGACGAAAGATGGAGAACGGATTCAAGAAAGCGAGGTGGGTAGGTGCAGGTAAGAAGGAGTAGCCTGAGAGGTCGCAGTTTCCACATCAGCTTCGTCCCTGTCCCCAGAGTCACCCTCTCTCTCCTCCCTCAGCTCCCGGAGTCTGAGTGCTGGTGACGGCTGTCATCAGATTAGTGACAAGGAGCTTCCGGAGGAGGGCGGCGGACAGCCGTGCTCACCTGAGCAGGTTCTCACGCGGCCCTGGGCCAGAAGGGCCTCTGCTGCGAACCCAGGATGGGCCTCGTCCCCCTCTCAGGCTCTCCTGGGCCTCGGCCTCCCATCTGTCTAATGGAGCGGGGAGCCTGGGGGGTGCCCGTGGCGTTGGCCGGCTGGGTCATGCCCTCTGGGGACTGGTGTGCAAGGGTCTCGCCCTGAGCGCTCGGGGCATGGGGAAGGGCCTCCCCCGGCAGCCTCCCGGCCTCCCCCTGAGCACCTGCTGCGCTCCCCTGGCCCCGGAGCTCGCGCGCACCCCGGGGCGCACCCTCCCCTGCCTGAGTCCTGCGTCCCAGAAGCCTCCGCGCCCAGGCTGCGCCCTCTCCCAGCTCCTGCAGCCCTGCAGCCCCGGGGAGGCGTGAGGCAGCTGCAGGATGCTCTCAACCGCAGCTGCTGGGGCTGGAGGCGGGAAGGCGGGGCCCGGCGAGCAACCTCCCCTCCATCCCTGGCCAACCAGGGCAGGACCAGGTGCTCCTGGGCAGGGTGTCACTAATTCACCCTGGAGCGAGCCGGCAGCCGCTTGGCCGATGAGGAAACTGAAGCCCAGAGAGGCCCAGAGCCTCTGCTGTGGTCACACAGCAAGGAAGGGCTGGTGCATCTGCCTCCCTGGGGACCACTGGGGTGGCTGGACCCTTCTTGAGGGCTGCAGGGACCAGCAGCCTGGTCCCCATTGAGGGCCCCTGCTGCGACCTGGGGAATATTCTCAGGTTGTCTCAGAAGTTCCAAGTTGACTCAGCACTCTCCTCGGAGCTGTCGTGAAAAGTCCCTTTGGCAGAGGGCCAGGGCAGGGAGTGGGGGTGGTGGCACCTAGGAGTCGTGGGGGAGGGTGCTCCTCCCACTCCTTCCCCTCCCCCTCGGGTTTCTGGGGCCCTGGAGAGCCCGTGAGGAAGGGGGCGTGGAGCAGAAGGACCCTCTTCCTCAGGAAGGTGTGAGTCCCCCCCCCACTCAAGATGGCTCCCTGAGTGGCCCGAAACCCCTCCTCCCTCTCTGGGCCTCAGCTCCCCCATCTGTGCAGTGGGGGCACAATCACCAAAAGAGCTGTCACTGGTTGAACTCAGAGCATGTCAGACTCTATGCCAGGTAACAGTCGCAGATATTATTATCAATAGTATTTAAAGTAAAACCACCCAGTGTGACTCAGGAGGCCGAGGCAGGAGGATCGCAAGTTTGAGGCCAGCCTCAGCAACTAAGTCTGACCCTACACAATGTTGTGAGACCTGCCTCAAAAAAAAAAAAAAAAATTTAAAAAGGGCTGGGGATGTGGCTCAGTGGTAAAGCACCTCTGGGTTCAATCCCCAGGACCCCTCTGCCCCCCAACAAAAAAGAGTAAAACCTACTGGTCCTGAGCACATGCTCCTCATCAGAGCCTGTGTGCTGCGCTGACTTTGGCTGTGTGAGTAACCAAGCCCAGGACCTGGGAGGTGTCTGACCCCATAGTATGTGCTCAATAAAAACCCTCTGAACAAATTCTCACGACCAAGCTGAGCTGGGTGCTCCGGTTCCTGTTCTTATAGAGCCCCGATTCTTGTTCTTACAGACATTTCCTCCTATCACAGACAAGCAACCGGGGTTCAGAGAGGTCACAGGAACACTCACTCAGGTCACACGAGCACTAAGTGGGAGAGCTGGGATTTGAACCCGGTTCCGTCTGATTCCAAAATCACGGTCAGCCGCGTACCCGTGAGTCAGCTCAGCGCCCCCAGTGACCACAGGGGACCCCGCTCAGCCTCCCGAGGCTGCTCTCCTCTCCTGCAGGTCTCCCCCGTATGGCGCCGCCACCGTCCCCTCCCCTGGTCACCCTCAAGGCTGTGGCCCGCCCTCCCTCTCTCCTCCTGGGGACTCCGGTCGACCTTGCTGGGGAGGTGGGAGCGGTGGGCTCGGGCTCAGCCTGGGTCTTGCTCTCCTGAGCCTCCTCTGTGGGGCCGACAAAGACCCAGACACCCCCAGGGCGGGGCAGGCCAGGCTCCCGCAGGACCTACAGCGGCGGGACCCCACGACCAGGGTCCCCACCTGGCCACGGCCCACTCCCCTGGAATGGATGCCCAGCGGTCCTGATGGGGTGGCCCTTCTCAGAAGGTGCCCTGTGACGTGAATCTTCTTTGCCTGTCACCTTGTCCCACAGGTGGTGACCTTGCCGTTGTGTACTCTGAGCTGGGTATTTCCTGGTCACAGTGAACCCGGGCAAAGACGTCCCCGCAGAGCCTCAGTCTTGCCATCTGTGAAATGGGCTGGGTCCTCTGAGGGTCGTGGGAGGTCCTCAAGTCCTGGGATTTTGTGAGCCCTGGGGCCGGGAGGGCCAGGCAGGCAGGGCTGCTGTGTCCCGGGAACGTCCCCACACCCTCTGCCACTCTTGGGGTCCGGCTCCTCCCCCCATGGCTCAAGGTTCCTCATGATACAAACTCCCTGTCTAAAAGGATACTTGGGACTGCATTGTCACCTTGCTATGACCTTGAGTCCTGACAGACAGCCCCCCCCTTGTCCCCGTGTTACACATGTGACAAACGAGGACACGAGGCGAGACCAAGCGGAGATTTGCCTGAGCTCACCAGCCTGGGAAGGCACATGGCCAGACTCTCCGGCCAGGTTTTCCCCAGTCACCACGTGCTCTGAACCCCCCAGGGGAGCCACAGCTGTCCCAGGAGCAGCCTCGGGCTCCTTACGGCCCCTGCACTGCGAACTGGGCTCCTGCTGGGCAGAAACTGCCACCCCTCCAGAGTGTCCTGAGTCCTTTCCCCACACGTTGGCTCCCCTGTGGCTCTCCACCGGGTCACTAAGCTCCTCACTCCCCCTCCTCCACACACAAGAGGAGTGGCCTCTTATCATCTGACCCACCCCCGGGGTTCATGATAAAGACCAGGAGAGGCTGCGGGGTCACCTGGTTTACTGCCCACCCTGCCGTATCCTAGTTGAGGCGCCAAAGGAAAATCGTCCTCTGTCTCCAGGCTTCATTTCCTGTGAAATGGGCGCCCAGCCGGGTTTTGAAGGATGAGATAAAATACAGGTGACAAAACACAGACGCCCTGGCCTAGCTGACATCTCTGCCCGCCAAAACGGCCTGGGAGGCTGCAGTCTCCGCCCCTGTGCCCACTGCAGCCTGGCACCCTTGCCCAGGACCCAGGCGATGGAGCCCCTGATTCTTGGAGGCTGGTTTCTATGGATGGGTCATCTCAGCCATGCTCCTGCCTCGGGGCCCTGAGCTTCCTACAGAGCCACATCAAAGACCTCCAGTCATTCAGAGCCGGCCAAGCGGGGACTCCAGCCCCACTCTGCCCACTGGCATGAAGCTTCTGAGACTCAGTGTCCCCAGGTGTCACCTGCCCACAGGCTGCGAGCCCTCCTGTTGGGCACTGAGGCAGGTCCTCCTGGGGGAGAAGTTGTCCTGCCCGGGGACAGCGACAGGACCTAGTTACCTGCTCCTGCAGTGTCTTCCTCAGAAACCCATTCCGTGGTCCCCGCGATCGGGCGGCCTCCGGGGTGGAGGCGGGTGGCCTCGCGGAGGACAGGAGACGAGGTGAGAGAGGCGGCAGGGTCCAGCCGAGTGGCGATCCACACCCTGCCCCGCGTCGGCCACCGCACGGGTCACCCAGGCCGAGGGACGGCGGGACTCTGGGCGGGTGGGACGCAGGCAGGGCCGGGAGCAGGCGACAGGAGCGCGGGGCAGGGACCCGCTGGCCGCCCGGGGTGGACGAGGCCCGGGGACAGCCTCAGGCGCAGCCCGGGAGAAGCAGGCGGGTGCCCGGGCGCGGGGCCCACGGCCACCCGGCGGAGCGACGCCCGTGGGTCTGTGCGAGGCGGCGGCGGGCGGCTGCCATCCCTGTCGCCGCGGCGGGCGGAGGAGGATGTGGCGAGGCCGCCCCGCCCCCGCCCGCCCCTCCCCGCAGAGCAAGGTGGGGACCGGCCAGGCGGCGCCCTGTGCGCGCCAAAGGTCACCCAGCAAGCCGTGGGGGCCGCCAGGACGACATGTGCCTCCGGGGGACAGGTGACATCATCCCCACAAGCCTCTCAGTGACCACGAGGGAGCCACTTCCCACAGATGTGCAAACCGAGGCTCCAGGCTGAAGGGGTATGGGGACCGCTCAGTGGCCCCACCTCTGGGACACAGAGAAGGCTGAGCCCTGGGGACAGAGCCTGTCCAGGCGTCCTGGAGACCCCCCTGTCCCACCTGCAAACTGGCCTGTCCCATCAGCCACACAACTGCCTGCCCACTGGGTCTGAGCAGCCCCGGTGACCCTGACTCTCCCCACCTCTGTCCCCTGCACTAGGACGAGCCCAGTCCCCATGTCCTTGAAGGCAGAACCCCCGGGGCCCCTGTGGCGTGGCCTGCTTTGCCCTTCTCTCAAATAGAGACACCCAAAGGCTGGCCACAGGGACCATGGGGACACGGGGACTCAAAAAGACACTAGAGAGAAGACATTCACCAGACAGAGAGAGGTTCTGTCTCCTAACAAGCCAGAGGCGCAGGACAGGTTCAAATGTCTCTGGTTGACATTTAAGAGACCAGGGGACAAAACCAGCTTACGCCCAGCAGCCTCAAGAGAGGAACTCGATCATCACCATGACCACCGCAAGACCGCCTGGCACCGGGTGGCATCGCCATCTGGGCTCATCCTGCCAACCCTGGGGGCAGGGGGGACTCCTCCACTTTGCGGATGGAGAGAGGCTCAGAGAGACCGTCCCACAAGCTGAGGGCGGGAGCTGGGATTTGAACCCATCCCTAAGCTTGCCCCCGAGTGTGCAAAGGAAATGTGTCCAGAGGGGGGGACGCTCTGGGTCCGCACGGATGCCTGTCCAGCCCCCCATCCCGCCATGGACTCAGTTTTGGGGAACAACTTACAGATGCTCTGCAAGGCCAGTCCAGGGGGAAAGAGAACGCCTCTCGCACTTTATTTCTTGATATATGTGCCTTTTTCTTTTTCTAGCCATGTTTTGAGGAACTTGGGACACATTCCCCTGTGGTCACTCTGCAGGCTCTGGGTCCTGTACACAGCCCCAAAGACAGGCTTTGCCCTGACAACAGGAATATATCTCCCGAGCTCCGAAGAGCAGATCTTGGGAAGGAAACCAGCTTGCTCTTTCTTGTTCTCTTAATCTTCAAAGTGAATCTCCTGATACCGCGTCCTGCAATTGGTAGCCATTGAAAGATCATAAGGAGGAGTAAGAGATGACTAATTTGTGAAGGGCTTGCTTTGTACTAGGGGGTGAAGGACTTTAAAGATTTTTAAAGACTTTAAAAATCACTGGAGAGCACAGCTACCATCCTCGTCCATCGTTTCCCCTTGTGCGACAGATGAGGAAACAGAGGTTCAGAGAGGTTAATGATTTGTCTAAGGTCACACAGCTGGTGAGTTAGAAATGGAATACAGTCATTTGGACTCCAGAGCCCACACTTGAGATAACTCACTTCACTTCAAGATAAAAAAAAAAAGTGGGAGGGTGGACAGCGACGTGGGCAAGGTTTTAGGCAGTGCAAAGGTACTGAGGCAGAACCCATGTGGCTTGCTCCAAGAGTACAGGGACAGAGTGGCAACAGAGACCAATGGGGGGGGGGGGGGGAAGGTCACACTCACTGCATGCCACCTGGGAGGAAAGCAGATTTTGTTCCAGTGGAAATGGGGAGTCATCTCTGGCTTTCAAGGGGTGGCTTAGTCTAATTTGCATTTTCAAGAGTGCTCAGGGCATGCACAGGCTGTGTGTGGGACACAGCAGGGGCCACTTAGTCCCTTAGTACCTAAAAAGAAGATGGTTTGGGGACTGGAAATTTAACAGCTGCCAGGGCCACATCCCCACCCTGACCCCCAGAAATGGACGTGAAGTGTCCTCTGGGGCGGTGCCTCTGGGTCTGCCCATGTCTCAGGAGTGTGGCCCGCGGAAGGGAGGTGTGGTGGGACCTCTGGGGCCCTCGCAACCCCGGAGGACTCAGAGCTGGTCACCGAGAGGAAGTGGTCTCTCTGCCTTTCAGTCAAGTGGTCTCCTGGGGGAAAAATAATTGCGACAGCCCCTCCCTCCGCCATTTCCTCTTTTTTATTTTTATTTCCACAGCTCCTTTGAGGTATTATTTATATAACATCAAATGCAGCCACTGAATTCAGTTCAATTAGTTCTAGAAAATGTGTCGAATTGTGCAACTCACCATGATCTAATGTTGGGAAATTTCCATCATCACACACACACACACACAAAAAAAAACCCCAACAATCCCTTGGGCCTGTTTGCAGCCAGTTCCCGACTCCCACGTGCTTGATCGTCCTCTGCCAATTTTTTAAATTGCATTGCTTATCATTGTTGGGTTGTAAGAGTTCTTTACATATTCTGGATACTTGACCTTTATCAGATAGATGGTCTGCAAATATTCTTTCTCAATTTTCTGCATCGTCTTGTTACTTTCTGAGTCCTGTGCTTTCATGTAAAAGAGTTTTAGGGGGGTTGAATCCTGAGCTGTTTAACCACTGAGACACATCCCCAGCCCATTTTCTGTATTTTATTTTGAGATACAGTCTTAATAAATCGCTTAGGGCCTCACTAAGTTGCTGAGGCTGGCTTCGAACCTGCCATTCTCCTGCCTCAGACTCCCAAGTTGCTGGGATTACAGGCGTGCAACACTGCACCCAGCAGTAAAAGAATTTTTAATTTTCTCATCCCCAGGCCCCTCTTTTTTTATTTTTTTTAAATGTTTTGAGCCAGGGTCTTGCTAATTTGCTTAGGGCCTTGCTAAATGGTGGAGGCTGGCCTTGGACTTGTGATCCTCCTTCCTCAGCCTCCCAAGCTTCTGGGATTATAGGCATGTACCACTGCACCCAGCAAGAGCTTTTAATGGTTATAAAGCACAGTTTCTCTCTTTCTTTGTTTGTGCTTTTGAAGCACATCTAAGAAGGATCCGTTACCAAATCGAAGGTCATAAAGATTTCTTCCAGTGGTTTTTTTTTTTTTTCCTGAGATTTTTATTGTTCTGTTACTTCTTCTATTTAGGTCTCTGACCCATTTTATATTCATTTTGGTGTATGGTGTGAGATAAGGGTCAAACTTTGTCGTTTCACATATAGATCTATCCAGTTGCCCCAGCACCATTAAATAAATAAATAAACAAGGAATATTTCTTGATTAAATATAAATCACCAAATATAAATATTGAATTAATTAACTAAGAGGCCATTCTTTCCCCCATTGAATTGTCCTGGCATCCTTATTGGAAATCACCTGACCCATGCCGTTTATTTCTAGACTCCTGACCTGGATGTCAACAGACCGACGACGTCCTTGGTCAAATGTGTTGTCCCTGGGCCAACAGCCCGAGGTCCCTGAACACAGCGGCTCTGTAGCGAGTCTTGATCTTGTTGTTCTAACAGCTGTTTGGGCTCTTCTCTTGCAATTCCACATGAGCTTTAGGATCAACTTCTTCATTCAAAAGAAAAAGACACCAGTCGAGGTGAAGCCTGCCCATAATCCCAGGCACTCGGGAGGCTGAGGCAGGAGGATCATAAGTTTGAAGGCAGCATGGGCAACTAAGGGAGACCTTGTCTCAAAAAAAAAAAAAAAAAAAAAGTACAAAGGGCCAGGGATGGGGATGTAGCTCAGCCCAGCACCAAAAATAAATAAATAATTTTAATTAATTAAAAGAAAGAACACTGGGATTTTTATAGGGATTGCATTAAATTCACAGAGTGCTGTAAACCTGAAGATCGCCGTCTCAATGATGTTACGCCTTCCACTTCACCAAAAATTTACTTGGGTCTTTCTTCTTTGATTTTTTTTCAGTAACGTTTCTTGCAACTCCTTAGTTCTATCTGTCCCCAGGGGTTTTATTGCTCTTGATGCTGTTGTGATGGAAAGTTCTTCCTTGCCTCCTGGGGCCGGGCTGCTCCTCGCTGGTGCCTTGAGACCCCGTGCGTTTCTGCAGGTTAATTTCTATCCTCCCACTTGGCCCAAGTCGTGTTTTGGTTCTAGTCATTTCTTTGCCGATTCTTGAGGATCTTCTCTATTTAGGATCACATCGTCTGTCAATCAAGGTCGTGTTTCTTCTTCCTTTCTACTTGGAAGCTTTTTATCGCTGCCTCTTGCTGATCTGTTGGGGTTTGAACTCCGGGTATCGTGTTGAGGAGCGTTGGCCAAGAGGGCACCATTCTCGTTCCCAATCTTAGGGGAACATCTTCCATTTTTCATCCGCTGTGAGGTTTCATATCCGACCCTTGTCGAATTGAAGGAATTCCCTTGGATCTCTATTTTGCTGAGGGTTTCAGTCCTGCAAGGGCATTGAATTTTGTCAGATGCTTTTCTGCATCAATATAAATGATCACGTGGTGTTTGTCCCTTTATTCTGTGAATATGGTGTACCATGTGGCTTCACCTTATGTTGAACTATCCTTGCATTCCTGAGGTTTGGTCCTGCTATATAAACTCTTCAAGGGGCCGTAGGACTCTGTTTTCTGGTATTTTGTTGAGGAATTTTTTGCATCTATGTTCCCAAGGGATGCTCATCTGTGACGTCCTTGTCTGGATTTGGTATCATAGAATGACTTAGGTAATATTTCCTCCTCTTGTGTTTTGTGGAAGAAATTAAAAAGGAATGAGGTTAATTCTTCTTGAAACGTTCCATAGAATTCATCCACGGACTTTTCTTGCCTGGGAGGTTTCGGGTTGGTAATTCAACTCTTATTTTGTGATATGTCTATTGGGGTTTTCTATTTCTTCATGAGTCAATTTTGGTAATTGGTTTTGGTGAGACTTTTAAAGTCTCCAGTGATTCCGTACTGTTTCTAGAAATTTGTCCGGT